CTTTGGTGCCGTTATCCTGATATAGTACGCTCAAACACACTCTCACCCTCAAATATTTATGCTCAAACTGTATGAATTTTAAATAAAGCGTCACTCACCATGCATTAATCGAACACTCTTTAGCACAAACCCAAAATACTTTTGCTAACACAGTGCTGAGAGGAGCACTTAAAGTTAATGATTTTGAACCATCTTCAGTGGATACTTCTTAGCAAAGATTTTATATAAGCATTAATATGACATGGACAAAATACTATTGTTAATTTTGCACGGATTTGATTCATATGAAAATGTACAAGCTGGTGATTTCATATGAATTTGTACACTGTACTGTGCTTTGTTAGTCAGTATATCAAACTAAGTGTACTTCTTTAAAGCATGACAAAAATGATTAAACCTGATGATTTAAAATGTACTTAAAAAGTAAAACTTTTCATTTTAAATTATTTTAAGTGCATTTTTAAAAGTGTGTTAAGAAACATAGTCATGAACGTGTGTGTATACATATTTGAAGTACACTACAAGTGCAAATTCAGTACAATTAAGCACGCTTGTTTCTCACAAGGATAGTTTGATTAAGCATTTATACAATCAGCAGACTGTCTGAAAAGCATAATGCTGGTGTTATTTAGAACTATGGAAAACATGTACAAAAATTCACTAACTTGGGAAGTCAAAACTCAGAATGGGCTTTGGTTTTCTTTGACCACGGGCAATATATTAAATGTTTGGCTAGCAGCCATTAGCCTGTAGCTCTTTGCTGGTTACTAAATGGAGCTTAGCAGAGCTGAACACGTCCAGTACCTGGTTGGGAGAACTCATTGGGAAGAAAGGTTGCTGCTCATTCAGTGGTCATTAGCAATCACAGGGTGTTTGTCAAAATGACTGTGTCTCTCACTAATGTCTCTTAACAAGCACCCTCTATGAACTGGCTGCATCATTCTGTCCCCTCTTGACTGGCAGCTGGTGTGTGGTGCACTATGACAGCCATTGCAGGCTGCACACCTGTTTAGGAGAGTCTTCCTCTCTCTATAAAATGCTATGTAGTGTTAGGATGACAGGTATGTCACATCACTCACCTGTAACTAATAAGAAGTGTGTGCTTGAGTGTTTGTATCACACCGCTTTTCTGTGTTTGCCCATTCTAGACAGGCTGCGTGTAATAATGGCGAGAAATTTTCAGTGATTTTTCTGCAGTTTACATCATTATGCCAATAGGTGGCAACAATTGACTGTTTTTATGAGTGAGTCAACCACTTTTCCACCATCAGTCCAAACCGTTCTTGCTGCTTAACTGTTTCATTCCGTGCTGATCCGGATATTGTTTCATTTTTCACTGCAGGGCTGATATCAGAGGTCATAATACAAGTGTGTCTCTCGTTTTGTTATCATAAGTGTTTACATACCGTATGAGATGCAATTAGCTCCTATGGGAGCATCAGAGAGCTCTCGGAATTCATCAAAAATATCTTAATTTGTCCACTGTCATCACCAATGGACTAACATCAAGTAGCTTCACACTGCCACCGGGGGACTAGACAAGGATGCCCACTCTCCCCTTCACTATTCACCATTTTCATTAGGGCTGCACGATAAATCGCATGCGATATTTAACGCGCAACTTGTCAGTAAAGCCGTTCTGTAATCAGCGGTAAATCTCCATTGCGTGCGGGCTTTCACATGAAGCAGCATTTACTACACAGAGCCGTTGTTCACTGACAAGCTGCGCAAAACATGCGCAAAATATGATCGTGGTTTTGCGCAGCTTGTCAGTGAACAACGGCTCTGTGTAGTAAATGCTTCTCCATGTGAAAGCCGGCACGTGATGGAGATTTACCGCCGATTACAAAACCGGCTTTACTGACAAGATGCGAGTTAAATATCGCATGCGATTTATCGTGCAGCCCTAGTTGGAATCATTCAAAAACGCACCATAGTTCTGCTGTGGCTTTCATTTTGATCTGTTTGCATTGACAGAGAAAAAAACAGATGGAGTAACTAGCAATATTGTGTCTATAAAACTTTTTGGTTACTTACCAAGTATTGTAACTACTAGGCTACACTACAGTCAGTAATAGACCTAGAATTTGAATCAGAAGATGCGACTCACAATTATTTCGCCCACCACATATAGTCTGTAAGCACTAGGTTACAAGTGTACAATCCTAATGATGAGACCCAGCATATTAAACTACTGCACCTATTCAATGCTTTATTAATAAGCTTCATGGGAGTAAATGCTCTAAGTGTACAGAAGTCGGAGGCAAAGACAAGTGTCTGACGCATATGATCAGCAGTGGATTGTGGCTGTATGTGAATGTGTGTGAACAGTGGTGAGTTGTGGGTGGAGCTGCATGAGGTGAGGCCCTTGGCTGCTGTCACAGACACATCAGAGCACAACATCAATCAAGCCCTTTCATTAGAGGCTGTCTAGGTCTCTCAGCGCCTCCATCAGCAGATGAGTCCTCCATTATTGATCAAACCAAATACATCCAACAGCCCTGCTACCACTATATCTCCCAGCTTGGAAGTTTACAGCCGGCTCCAGAGGAGCAAGAGGGTTTCTTTCTCAAAGATGCAGAACTGACTAACAAATAAATTAATTAGAATACTAATCAACTCGAATAGGAAAAAGGATATAGGATTAAAAAATGCCTTAAAATTTACTGTTGAAACAAGTGTTTTGTCCTATAGACTTATTGTAAATGTAAGTTCTCACAAACTGAAAGACAAGTCAGCATTATTTAATGTGTTAACTGATAGAACGTCAGAGACTTCAGAGGTTTAGGATGGCATGCTTCGGTCTTCAAAAGGGTTAGAGTTATGCAGGCAGACAGGAATAATGCATTTAACTGACTTTACTGTCAGTGAATTTCAGCTCTCTCAGTGTGTCTGCCTTTGATCGTATAATAGTATGTGATACAGCACACATTATGCAATGGCATACATTTCATCCAGCAGTATGATATGCTGTTTTCACATGACTTCAGTGCCGTCCAGTTATCATCTAAGAAATAAATATCATGGTTGATATTTTTTTCAGATTCATTTGTCACACTGGAAATGAAAAGTCGAAATGTTGTCTTTGGTTGTATACTTGACCTTTTGGAACATGTGTGGTAAAAAGGTACAAAGCTGTCACTGGGGCAGTACCTTTTCAAAAGCTACACTTTTGTACCTTTTTACCCCTAGAGACTGTATATTAGATACATATTACTACCTAAAATGAATAATGTACCTAAACGGTACATATTTATACCTTTTGAAAGGGCACCGTCACAGTGACAACATTTGTAACTTTTTTTCTGAGAGTGTATGCATTCAGAAAATTTGCATACTATGCATAGCATATATATATATATATATATATATATACACACTGCAGAGATAGTAGAATACAAATGCAGTGTGCTATAATGAACAGAGTACAGCATTCTAGAAGTAAAAGGTGAATTTTGTGGGGTCCTTCTCATTTTCATTCAAAACAGTGTTGTCATTTATTGCAACTCTTATTGCAAATTTTAGAAAAAAAAGTCTAGACATAAACATCAATTTCCTTCTCTGAAATGACTCGGGATAAGACTAAGGGCTTTTTTCGAGCATCATTTCGAATGTTTCCTTCTGAGGTAAAGCAAACAGCTTTCTTAAGGACTGTAAATGAGGTGTTGTTGCTGAGCAACATGAAAACTTGAATAACAAGAAAGCAAAGGTAAAAAAGTTAGTGTTATTCATTATCTAAGTCCAAGAAGGCATAATGAGGAGTTGAGGAGCACTTTGTGAATAAAGAACATAGGTGCTAAATGAAACCATGAAAGTTGTTTAGAATAATCTGAATAATTGCACCGTTTTATTTATTGCGAACTGCATTTTACAATGAGAAATGTTTGAATATAATATGCATTACCTTTATAACTGTAAGCAATGATAATTTTAACACATTTGTAAGCATGACTGCAAACACTAAAAGCAGATGTTGATATATAACACTTTATTCTACTATCTATTATAATGAAACAAACAAAAACAAAAAAATTGGAGCAAAATCAAGCAGTTAACATTTTGCTTGTTACAAGTTTGTTTATATGGTCTTTAAAAAAATAATAATAAAGTTTTTTTTTTGCCATTTTTTGGCAAAGTATTTAGAGCAGATACACTCTTAAAACTAAAGGTGCTTCACGATGCCATAGAAGAACCTTTTTGTCTAAATGGTTCCACAAAGAACTATTATTTAACATGTTGATATATAACACTTTATTCTACTATCTATTATAATGAAACAAACAAAAACAAAAAAATTGGAGCAAAATCAAGCAGTTAACATTTTGCTTGTTACAAGTTTGTTTATATGGTCTTTAAAAAAATAATAATAAAGTTCTCTTTAATAGTTTGTAGTACATTTTTTGGCAAAGTATTTAGAGCAGATACACTCTTAAAACTAAAGGTGCTTCACGATGCCATAGAAGAACCATTTTGTCTAAATGGTTCCACAAAGAACCATTATTTAACATCTGAAGAACCTTTGTTTCATAAAAGGTTCTTTGTGGTGAAAGGTTCTTCAGATTATAAAAAGGTGAGAAAGAGATGGTTCTTTAAAGAAACTTTGACTGAATGGTTCTTCTGTGGCATGCTGTGAAGAACCTTTTGAAGCACCTTTATTTTTAAGAGTCTACTTAGTTGTACCGAGAGCATCTCAACATTATTGTAAAGGGAACTGCTGTCACCTAGTGGTGGCTCAAGAACAGCAGTGAAGGAATATACTCTATAATGTAATGTATATAGTAATATGTATAATATAACTTGTCCATAATATTTAGCTGAGTGATCCACATTTGAATCCATGGTTAACATGTTGAGAGTTGAGGAGGAGTTAAAAAAAAATATCAAAATTCAACCTGAAATACTAATTGAAAAACAATGATTAGATGTCAATGACAATGATGTGTTGACGAATCATGTTGTGGACTTTTTAAAATATCCATATGCCATATTAGTGTACTTACATGACATCCGGAAAATAAAGTTATTTATTGTGTTCAAAGAACATGAAGTCCTACAAGAGAAGAATAACAGCAGATTATTCACTATGCTGAAACACGCAAAGCTTATAGAGCAAGATTAAACAGATACAAACTGGTCCAACCAGTAATATGTTGACGTATAATAATAACTTATTGTTGCTTACTATGAGAAAACATGCTCCGAAAAGAGCAGCTTTGATCTTCACGTCCAGATCCATAGGAAAGGAGATTCCAAAATTGTCTGCATCAGTGAAAGCTTCTCTCACCAGACCTGTCCATTGTTTAGCGATTCTGCCCACCTTTGTTGATTCGTCCACGGACAAAACCTGTTTAGATGCAAAAAAATAACTATTTATCATCATGCAAAATGTTTAGTGGTATGTAAAAGGATCACATGGTTTTATACTTTTATGACTAAGATTAAAGACCAAGTCAAATTATCAAACTATCATCAATATTTCTGCCTTGTATGTTTCATACATCAAAGTTCACATCAGCGCAGCATCTGCATGAACAGAACGGCCCCACAATCTTCAGAACTGCTTCTTTCTTCTCATTCAGTATGGTATACTTGGGAAGGAAAGGATGCCAATTCTGGATCACGTATCCAATCGGGTTGCCCGGTGGAGACTGGATTTCGAGCTTAGAGGAAGACAGTAAAAAAAACACAGTGATTTGAGTTTAGGCATAATTATTCTTGAAATTAATGCAGATCTGTATAATTATTCACAGGTTATAGGTTGCATTTAAGCTGTTAATTCAATCACAAGCATGACCAATGGTGGTGGCTTTGCCGAGTACCCATCATGCAACACATCATTCGCAACAGTACATTGGTGACATTGATTTGAAAGCCTGACATGCATAGGTTGGGTGTTTATTTAGCAATGGTCTAAAATATGAATAGGTCCAACAACATCTAAGAGTGTCCATGAGTGCCCAAAAATGTGAGAATGTTGAATCATGAATTATTAATATTATCATAAAATCAAGATATTACATTTTACAAGTCGCACCACATGACATTTTACAACCTCAACTAACCTTGCATTTTCATGAAAAGGTCAAATTATCTGATATTTTAGGAGACTTAGACCTTGACACACAGTCATTAAATACTTAAATACTAAATTATTTACTAGAGTTTTATTTTCAGTCACTTCATTCTTGTAATGAGGCTTTCTTTCTTCAATTGTATCACTGATATATTGTATCACTTTGTTATGCATGCCAAAAAGTAATTAATTTAAATTTAATTCATAAATTAAAACCATTCTCATCATATTCGAGTCAATATACAATTTGGGTATTGCTTCAAAGAAATTAATAATTACAATACTTTAATGCAAATTTAAGATCCAATAGGAGAATTTCTTCAAAAACATTACAAAAAATCTTACCAATCCGAAACTTTTGTACAGTAGTTTACGTATGGATTGTATTCAAAGCATTTTTTTTCTACACAAACAGCACAATGATAATAGTTCATGAATGTACAATCTTTCATCAACCAGCTTATATCTTTTAACAATGATAACAAATCAAAGACTTTGAAACCTGAATAAAAGTGAGAGTTACGACACAGAATGTAACTTCATGAACCAAAATCTGGATTACCTCAATTATTTATATTAATTTATATTATATATATATATATACATACACGTGTGTGTGTGTGTGTATATATATATATATATATATATATTATATTAAATGTCGGATAAAAACTTAATTCCAGCCAACATAAAAATAATAATAATTGCATTTTTACTACTTTATAAGTGTATGCATTTTACTGAAAATCACATTGTCCAGTTTATTCCTACGGGATGCTGTGTAAAGCTTGTGTGATCAAGCAAAAGTAACCAAGGGGGTCAGTTGATTTCTGTTATGTTAAGATAATAGTCATTTAATCTCAACATATGCAAAATATTCATAATATCGGTGAAGAAAAAACTAAAACAAACATCACAACATTACCTTCTGCCAGCTCAACTTTCTGCTGTACAAGAAGTTGATCAATCTGTGTTGGAAAAAGGAAATAAATGTTAAAAACCCTCTTTAGGACTTTGGATGGCATGATAATCGTGTTTAAAAGTGTTTCCAAAGTTTCACATTCTTCCAAGAAGTGGGACATTTGTTGTGGCATTTCAAAGCCCAGAAATGCAACGCAAGCCGAGTCACCATTTCCTGAGAAGATACTGTCTCATCTCGCAAAAAACAAAACAAAAAAAAAAACAAAGATTCCATCACTGCCTACAGTGGCATACAGAGCTGTTCATATCCAGCAGTAAAGCTCTACCTGGGTCAGGTACTCCAGTCCTGGTGGGCAGCCAGCGGGTCTTTGTGGAACTGGCATCACAGGCACTTGACCTTTCAAAAGGAAGAAAATGACGTGTTAAGCAGGAGGATCTAGAAAATTGAGGATTATGAAAATTCAAAATTTCCTTCGATTTCCTTACCTTGGCCTGGTATGGCTGGTCCCTGGTTAAAAGGAGGGGCGGGATTAATTGCATTTTTCTGTGGTTGGATGTCAATTGGGTAACCTGGTTTAAAGAATATCAAAGAACATCAATTGACATTGTTCTCACTGTCATGTGAAAGCCAGGGTGTTTCTTTGAGTTACATACTGTATAACAACAATTTAACAGAGTGCTGTCAGGATCAGGTTGTTGATGATAAGGTTTTGACACACTCACCATTATTTGTTGTCATGGTGGAAGGCTGCAAATTACACTCTGCAAACATGCAAACCAGAAAAGCAAGTTAAGCAAATCTTTTCCTGTATGTTTTTTCCATGCTTTGTGGGGAATGGAATTTCAGCAGCCCAAGATTTTCATAGCCAGTGAATCCTCAAAAAAAAAAAAACCGGGATGGCATTAAAACACAATATTCAAGTTGGAAACACCTGGGAATTGACCGGGAAATAACCGGGAAGTTGGACTGCAGGTACAGAATGCAAACCACATGTAGTCTTCCTAAACACATTTTAGGATAATCCACTCGAATACAAGAGGTTTGTAACATTAGTTATTATACCATGTTTATAATTGTAATAATTGATATAAACTGCAGCTTTTGTTTTTAAAGTAACCAGTACACCATAATGCATTCATAACAAAAATACACAGAAAAAAAGTGAATTCATACTTTTATATTAATTTAACATATTTTGAAGACATTTAAGGAGACCAAATATTACCAAACCAACAATCAGTCAGTTATTTAGATAATTAATAACTGGATTACTCAGTGAGCCACATCATTATATACATTAGCCTACATCATACAATAACACAAAGTGTTAATGATGACCAAACAAACAAACAAATAATATATTATTATTTACTACTTCGGTCTTAGTTTTGACGTTACAGGTTAACTGACTAAACGTTTTTACAGTGTAGCCTATGCTGCATTAATTTAATATGCCAAGTGCCAACAACTCACCTGTTACTTGTTCAAAGTGATGTGCTGTGGATACTGATGCCGTAGATTTGTTTTAGTCCTTTACATAGATTTAATTTACTAAAAATTCCGCTCGGAGAGAGGCCTGTTCTTTTTTTATATATTATTATTATTATTTTAGTGGGCGACAGTAACACAGAGCTGTTTTCTCTTCGCTCTTTATCTGCCTCACACACTATACATAAGTTTCCTTCCCGGGAAACAATCTGCTTCTGCTCACGAACACACCCCTTACAAAAAAACGAAAGAGACTGAACAGGAGAGTGTGTGTGTGTGGGGGGGGGGGGGGGGGGTTTCTGTGAA